TAGTTTATAGTTCCTTTCTTTTTGGAGGGGTAGATTAGAAAATTGTAGTCCCTCAGTTATGATTAGGTTTCTGACTATCTCTGTGCTGAACTTGAAGAGAATGGTTACAATTTTCAGTTTGTGTTTCCCTGTGTCCTATGATGACTTGGGTCAGAGGTTGGGCTGCAGGCCTCCCAGTGGTATGAAGAGCAATCACCCAATTTCTAGGCTGAGCCAAAAACAACAGTAACCTCAAAACAGGGCCTAGATTCAGTGCAGAGCCCATTTCCATTGGCCAGACTTTTTCCCTTCAGTGGCCTGGACACTCATTCATCTTGATTCATTTGATGGTTGTACCTATGGGAGACTAATATTTGCATATTTGCATATAGTTTAAGAAAATAGGATATTTGAAAATTTCCTAAGTTTTAGATATTATATGAATAAAATAGCTAAGTGAGGGCACCTGGGTGGCTTAGCCTGTTAAGCACCTGCCTTTGGCTCAGGTCATGATCCCAGCATCCTGGGATCAGGCAAAATCCCCATGTTGGGCTCCCTGCACAGTGGGGAGCCTGCTTCCCCCTCTCCCTTTGCTGCTCCCCCTGCTTATGCTCTGTGTGTATGTGTGTGTGTGTGTGTGTCAAATAAATAAACAAAATCTTTAAAACATTGTTTTTAAATTCAAAAAATAAAAATATCTTTAAAAATTAAAATAAATAAAATAACGAGGTAATTAGGAGAAATTTGCTTCTGCATCTAGATATTTTACCATTATCTGACACACAGCTATGGGTTTACAAATACTCAAATTGATTTGATTCTAAACCATCTTTTTTCTGTGGTCAGTTTCAGCGAAACCCTGTATAGACTCTAGAATCAGACCATGTGGGTTCTAATGTGGATCTGTTACTTATGTGAGTAATAAACCAAGTAAACCAAGGCCAGCTGTATTACTTGTCTAATGAGGAAAAGCAAATAACCGCAAAACTTAGTGGCTTGAAACAATAGACATTTATTATCTCACACTTTGTGTGTGGGTCTTGAATTCAGGAGCCAGAGTGAATGGTTCTGACTCAGAGTCCCTCTCTCGTGAGAGTGCAGTCAAGATACTTCCCAAGGGCTGCAGTTTACTGAAGATTGGCCTAAAGCTGGAGGATTCTCTCATCCCTACACCTGGCACATTGGTGAGTCATTTTCGGGAGACCCTAGTTCCACACCTTGGCAGTCTGTCCATAAAGGGGCTTTAGTGCCCTCCTGATACGGCAGCTGGTCTCCCCAAGAATGAGTGATTCACCAGACGGCAAGGAGCAAGCCACAGGCCTTTTGTGAACTAGTCTCAGATGTCACACTTCATCTCTTTTGCCACATTCTGTTCACTAAAAGCAGGTGATTAAAGCCAACCCACATCTCCAAGGGAAAGTAAATGAGCCTTCACCTTTTGATGGGAGGAGTAGTGAAGAGTTTGTGGACATACTGACAACCAACATAGCATAGTAATAAACTTCAAAGTGCCTCAGTTTTCTTATCTATGAAATGCACATCGGTCGTACTATCTCATAGGATTTCTTTGCAGATTGCAGGGATATGATATGTGTAAAGTGCTTAGAATAATGCCTAACCCATTATAAGTGCCATAGAAGCATCAGATTTGTTTTATTTTTTTATCTTTTTCCCAATCTATCTAAGGACAACCAGAATTAGTAGAAAGAATATCATCTAGGGATGCCTGAGTCGCTCAGTTGATTAAGCGTCTGCCTTCGGCTCAGGTCATGATCCCGGGGTCCTGAAATCAAGTCTCTCATCGGCCTCCCTGCTCAGCGGGGAGTCTGCTTCTCCCTCTGCCTTCTCTGCCTGCTGCTGCCCCTATCTCTCTCTGACAAATAAATAAATTTTTAGAAAATCTTAAAAAAAAAAAAAAAGAAAGAATATTGTCTGGATAATTTATAGCAAACTAGTCTGATAGAGTCCCTGGAACTGCTTGGAACCTTTTTATTCTTATGTTTCCAAGTTCTTTTAAAGTATCTGGAGTTCATAGTTGGTTCAGACCTGAGGTAGCCTGAGTCTTCCCCCATTTCAGTAAATGCCTCCATCATTCATATGGCAAACCTCTTAAAGTTTCCTGACTCCACATATCCACCCCATAATAAGTCCTGCTGGCTCTACCTTTCATCTACAACCCATTCTGTTCAGCCCCAGGTCACCACAGGCTCCAGCTTACCACAACCTCGTATCAAAGCTTCCTTTCTTGACCCGACATACTATTCCACATTGAGCAGCTACAGAGATCATTTTAAAAACATAAATAAGAGTGTGCCATTTCCCTGTTGAAAAACTTGCAATCTATTTCTTCAAAAAATTATTCCAACTCCTTTCTCTACCATTTCATCTCCTAGACACTTGGCCTGGATCACTCCATTATAGCCTTGATAGCCTTCTTCCTGTCTTTTCAGCTCACTAGGCTTATTTACTCATTTTTACCCCAGGACCTTTGCACTTGCTCTTTCCTCTGTCCAGAATGTTCTTTGCATGGCTTACTGTCTTATTTTAGTCTTGTCCCTTACTCACACATTGCCTCTTCAGAAAGACCTTGATGAGACTCCTATCAAAAAATTACTCCAAATCCCACCATACTCTCTTCATAGGACAATACCTGTGTGACACCATATAAAATATTTGTGTTTCGGGGCACCTGGGTGGCTCAGTGGGTTAAAGCCTCTGCCTTCGGCTCAGGTCATGATCCCAGGGTACTGGGATCGAGCCCCGCATCGGGCTCTCTGCTCAGTGGGGAGCCTGCTTCCTCCTCTCTCTCTCTGCCTGCCTCTCTGCCTGCTTGTGATCTCTCTCTGTCAAATAAATAAACAAAATCTTTAAAAAAAAATTAAAAAAAATAATAAAATATTTGTGTTTCTTTTAATCTACCTCCCTCATTAGATTATAAACTGTATGAGAGTAGGAAGTTTGCCTTGTTCATTGATATGCACCCTATACTCAGAATGGGGTCTGGCACATATTGAACGAATGAATGAATGAATGAGCAGAATTCTGAGTTAATTGATTAATCCAGAAGTCACAAGCGGATACTATTTGGACCACAGATACACTTTTGTTAATACAATGTTATATGACAGTGATTTTTTTAAAAGATTTTATTTATTTATTTGACAGACAGAGATCACAAGTAGGCAGAGAGGCAGGCAGAGAAAGAGGGGGAAGCAGGCTCCCCGCTGAGCAGAGAGCCCAATGCGGGGCTCGATCCCAGGACCCTGGGATCATGACCCGATCCAAAGGCAGAGGTTTTAACCCACTGAACCACCCAGGTGCCCCTATGACAGTGTTTTTTAAAAACGTGAGTTAATTGACAACTTTTATAATTATGAGGTTTTATATAAACTCCAACTTTTTTGACTAAAATCAAGAGGAATTTTTTGTTTTGGTTTGGTTTTGGTTTTTGGTTTTTTTTATTTCTTGGCAAAAATTGCATCTTGCTTTTTAGCAGCTTCTCCTTTTAGATGTGATTTGCCCCACACCCCGCCACTCTCTATTACTGACTGACACCACTAACCTTCCTACACCTGGCTCCCTCTTCCCTTCCTGCTTGGCTGTATAGATTTCCAGGACCCTAGATTAAGCACATCTGTGTAAGTTTGCCAACATCTGTCCTCCATGACAGTATAACTTTTCATTTCTAATTTAGAAATGAAATGGGTCTCATGTTGGAGCTCCAAGGCGTATTCATACTAGACTCATTTTAGCCTTTGGTGCCATAGTATAATAATCACCCAACTTGACACACTCCACAAAGAACCCTCTCACTAGTGAAAGGACGGAAAGACCCATTGTGTTTCAAAATAATTTTCACTTTGGGAAGATTATTCTTTAAAACATTTTTTAAAAACATCAATTTGAAAAACTTTTCTTTATTTTCAAAACCTCATGAACACTCAATCCAGATGTTTACCTAAAGTGATTCATTAACCAGTGTGAGGCACACCCAGTTGTACTAGGAAACAAAATAACTGAGTTTAACAATAGACGATTGCAGAAGTATATGTATAATAGCAAGAACTCTTGTCTTTTGCTGCTTGTAGAGCTCATGCTTCTGAATTTGGGGGGCTTGAATATTAAGCATCTGCTACCCGGCAGGAAGTGTATTAGGCAGATGCACAGACCTTATTCTGTCTTATACTGTAGGGATGCTGGAGTGCAAAAAGGAAACAAAACAAAAAAGTAAATGTTATAATCCATGCAATAATTGTTGATAAGTGCTGTAGATAAAAAGAAAAGTGGAGTAGGGCAAGAGAGATGGGTACCGGACACTTTGCCATACTAACAATGTGGCTACCGTAGGTCATGTTGAAAATACTAGCCTTGAGCAAAACCTGAAGAAGGCAGGGGAGTTCGCCGAGTAGATCTGTGGGGAAAGAGCCTTTCAGAATAAGGAGACACCGAGAGTAAAGCCCTAAGACAGAAGTGTGTCTGGGGCGTTCACGGAGCTGTGAGTAACTATTACTGCTGAGCTACTGGGCAGTCAAGTTGACTACAGTAAATAGTGAGTATAGATGCCCACACTGTTCTCCGTAGGAGTGGTCTAGTCTCCCCAGCTGAGGGACGTTTATCGTCTATTTTTAACATTTATAGTCTCTATTTTGGTTTGGCCATGACCTGAGCATGTGAGACTCCATGGCCGTATAAGAGATGTTTGCAGGGCGGCAGGGTCCGTCTTCTAAGGGGAACTTACAAGACTGACCCCGGTTGGCCCCATGGTCAAGATCCTGATCCTAAGCTACTGTGTGTGCATAACAAATCCTCATGAACTGGCTGCGTTTTCGTTATTCCCAACCACTGTCCTGATCCATATATCGAACACTGGTGCTTTTCAAAGGAGTAGTCCATGAGTAAAGGAGTAAGAGCTGGAATTGCTGATCTTACTCCCGCATGCTAATTACGGTCCACTAAGTAATGCGGTTCAGAGGGCACTGTGTGAGTATCTCCCTCACGGACCTTCATGTCTTCTCATGCAGCTGCTTGCGGAGGACTGGCCCTTTGGAGCTGAGATGTGTAAGCTGGTGCCTTTCATACAGAAGGCCTCCGTGGGCATCACTGTGTTGAGTCTGTGTGCCCTAAGTATTGACAGGTAAGAGTGGATATTTAAGCCAGCTATATCCGGAACACGAGCTCAGGATACAAGTGATTGCTTTGCTACTTAGAAAATAAACTATGTAATTCAATGAAACAGGCTCTGCCAGCTTGACAGATAATTCTGTTTTGTGCTTCAGATATCGAGCCGTTGCCTCTTGGAGTCGAATTAAAGGAATCGGGGTTCCAAAATGGACAGCAGTAGAAATTGTTTTAATTTGGGTGGTCTCTGTGGTTCTGGCTGTCCCTGAAGCCGTGGCTTTTGATATTATAACCTTCGACTACAGAGGACGTTACCTGCGAACCTGCCTGCTTCTTCCTACTCAGAAAACAGCCTTCATGCAGGTGAATTTTGCCTTTTCCTTTCCTTTCTGTTCTTGCCTTATAAATATTTAGCTACTTTCCCACTTTCCCAACAATCACAAGGATTATTTTCTATTTTATCTATAAGAAGACCACATACAAGTTTAAGGATTGCATATATCATGGTAATGAAAAGAATTAAGTGAGACATTAATGTGAAATTGAGAATGAGATTGCTGACTTCTTTATCAGTTAAAAGGGAAAAATACTGCACAGATGACATAAATTCTACTCCAACACAGATATATTTGGAGCAAGAGTTTAAAAACAAAGCAAAAAGAGCAGAAATAGAATAAAAGGCATGAGTCATAAGCAGCTTTGATTTTCCAATTATAAATTAGATTTACACATTTCTTAGCAAAATGATTTGTACAGATCTTTCCACATCAATTTTTTTCCCAGAAAACAGACTTGTTAAAAAGTGAAACCTTCTCTTAAACATTAGGACGTCTTTGCATATTCAGATATGGTATTTTACATGAATACATTATGGATATTTTGCTTATGTGAAGGCAAAAATATTTGAAATACCACATACTTTTAATTTTACCCAACTGCTTAAATTTTTGTGCATAATTACAGCACACTGCCTAAGAGAATTAAAATGCTCTTTAGGGAAAGTTTGTTTCATTTAGTGTAAGTATTTAATTGTTTGTTCAGTAGACGTGGCCTCAAAGATTCTATACAGCCTCTATGAAATGGATCTACTTTAGAAGATAATTATTCCTTGATGAGTATGTTGTTTGTTTGTTTTTTTATTTAGCACTTGGCATATAAGATTTTTTTTACAGAGGAATGATAATCATGCAGTTCTCTTTTTTTTTCGCCATAGTTTTACAAGACAGCTAAAGATTGGTGGCTGTTTAGTTTCTATTTCTGCTTGCCATTGGCCATCACTGCTTTTTTTTATACCCTGATGACCTGTGAAATGTTGAGAAAGAAGAGTGGCATGCAGATCGCTCTAAATGACCACTTAAAGCAGGTAAGAACAGAAATATGTGCTGACTCACGATTACAATGATGCTTTTGAATTAGAAAATTTTATGGCGATAAAAATTATTATATACTAAAGTGTATTTCCTTTTTCTTGCTTCTGGTATTTTTTGAATACACAAAAGAATATCTTTTCTATTCTCTATCTAGAGATATTCTATTCTACCTAATCTAAAAGGATCTAGAAAGAGCCATTACTCTTTAAAGATGAATCTGAGGTCAATTTAGTTCTAATTCACAGTAACTATTCAACTTAAAACTCTGTGTTCAGGATTTTTACAAATACCACTGACTTTCTGTAAACAATAGTAAAGGTTCTGTTTGGGAAGAGAGACCGCGGTGATTATCTGAACCATCTATTTAGTCTCTGGCTCTGGTTTTATTTCAGAGACGGGAAGTGGCCAAAACAGTCTTCTGCCTCGTCCTTGTCTTTGCCCTATGCTGGCTTCCCCTTCATCTCAGCAGGATTTTGAAGCTCACTCTTTATGACCCGAATGATCCTAATAGATGTGAGCTTTTGAGGTAAGAAACGTAAAATAGAAAAAGTTTTTGTAGGTAAACGCCATTCAGAACTTTTTGGGTTTTTTGTTTTGTTTTGTTTTGTTTTTTTTCCATTGATCCCTTTCATAGCAGAGAGAGTACCATTTTGCTAGTCTTTAGGGAGCAATTAAGGTTCCCATTTTTGGTCTTCACCCATGTTGTAGGGGAAGGAATCAAGGGGACTTGTGAGAACACTGGAAATGGAGAGGCAGAGCTGTCAAAGTGATGAGTGGGCGCCACAATTGGAAATTCCACCTCGGATTCTCCTTTGCACACTTTGCGAAGCCTTCTTAGCAGCTGGCCTCCACACTTCAAATGAGATTTTATTATTTAAGAGAGAACTGGGCATGGGCGGAGGAGCTTGCTAGCAGAGTGAGACAGAGGGAGAGAGACAGAGAGAGAGAGGTCATCCTTAGCAAAGACCAGTGATAAAGCCAAAAATGAGGGATATGAATAACTTTTTCCTTCACAAAAACTCCAGAGTTTGCCAAGAATACATGCGTAAAGAAACGTATTATTCACAGACATATTTGGGGTGTGTTTTGCAGCTTTTTGTTGGTACTGGACTACATCGGCATCAACATGGCTTCCCTGAATTCCTGCATTAATCCTATAGCTCTGTATTTGGTGAGCAAAAGATTCAAAAACTGCTTTAAGGTAGGATTATTTCAAAATAAAAAGCTCTTTTTGGCCTAGCATCAAATATAGCCTTCCCAAACTATTCATACTTCTATCTAAAGAGATTTAGTAAATTGTTTTACAGTTTTCCCTTGCATTACATCACGAATGACTTTTTTTTTTAAATATGGGTTCTGCTCATAAATCACTCTATTTGATTTCCACCTATAAATCCTCCTCAGCTAGTCCCCACTGCCTCAACCAATCAGTGGTACTCCTAGAAATGCTCAGAAAATTAGCAAAAAGTACTTATAGTGATGTCTGACAGATATTATCTGATAAAATAAGAGCTAAACATGAATTAAATGCACTGTTCCCATTTTGGGGAGGTTTGGGACTGCACAGCATGGTTTGGATTTTAACTCATTTAGTTATAGTATTCATTTGGACGTGAGAATAGCAAGCCAAATGAAGACATTTAATTGAGGTTTTACCTCCTCTTTTCCACCTTGTTTGTATAGCAAAGATGTGCTACTTGACATGGAATATGTGTATTATTCTTGATTTGGCCACTTGCATTGTAATCCATTCATTGACTCCTTTAACAATCTAACATGAATGAAATAGTCCCCTTCCCTGATATGGACATGACCCATTTGTCCCTGGGAGTTCATTCCTGGAAAGAACTTGGCTTCCTTGTAAAACTAAGTCAGTCTCATAGACTCGTGGATCTCAGAGCAAGAAGATTCATCAAGATCAACTCCCTCATTTTATAGCACAGAAAACAATGGAACTCCCACTCTCTTAGACATATAGATTATCAGAAAGCAAACAGTACGAAGAAAGTTTTGGATTTTAAAAAATCCAAGAAAAGGAATTGGACAAACAAAACTGAGACACTTGTATACTTTATAAGTTTATTGTGTGATAATGTTGAAAAGGCACATGAGCATAACATGTGCCTAACACAAACCGGCAATACAATACTAAGTTCATTGACATGGGAAGATGTTTGTGACACCATCAGGTGAGAAAAAGCAGGCTATGGACTAGTACATACAGCACAGTTATATTAAGATATATTGTACACACACTTCTACAAGCACACACATATACAGTCACGTGTATGGATGTGTGTAGTATTTCCATTTGCGTAGGAAAATGTCTTGAGTTATGTATTTATCAGATATTATGAGAATTTTTCAAGTAATCAAGAGTAAGTATCAAGCTCTAAGTGGCTTTTCCCTTTAAATTTAATGAAAAGATGAGTTTTCCTGATAGACATTTTTTCTGTATTTTCTGGTTTAAAAAATTATCATATATGACTTATGTAATTATATATTGTTAAAGGGAAGAATAAGAGAGCATAGAAAGAAAGGGGCTGAGAGCTCCTGACCATGCCAAGAAAGTCAGAACCCCAGAAAATAGGAGGAGTCAACCCAGTGTCACTGGTGTGAACGTGTAACGAGTTCTTTTGCTTTGTACAGTCGTGCTTATGCTGCTGGTGCCAGTCATTTGAAGAAAAACAGTCCTTGGAGGAAAAGCAGTCGTGCTTGAAGTTCAAAGCTAATGATCACGGATATGACAACTTCCGTTCCAGTAATAAATACAGCTCATCTTAAAAAGAAGGCATAGTCACTTAATGCCACATTCTCTTTTGTGGACAGAAGTCATTAAATCAAGGAGGCCTTTGCCAAAACAAAACAACTGTGCGCTTGCACAAAACAATGTAAGAATGTAAGAGTGATTCTTCTCTTAACACTCACAGTGACACATGACATTCCGTGAGCTGTTTACAGCAGGAGAAGAAAAGCAGGGAGAATTGGGAAAGCCTCATCATGAAAGCACTTAATTTTTTACAATCAGCACTCAGAGAGGCTCTTGATAGCTTCCAGTATATTTTGCCCCACTTACCTTTAAGCTGAGCTCACTCTGCATTCCTATTAAAGAGATTTATTTTTTAAATTAATGTGAATCTGATATAAAGGAAAATGGTGTTTTTAAAAATGGCATTTTAAAATAAAGTTTAAATGACTTAACTTAATTTTTTTTAAAAAAAAATCCTTCAAGAGAACTTTTTTATTCAGGGTGTCACACCATTGGTTGGGTTATAAAATGTGAAAGCAGGTTAGCTGGTGTATTTTTGTGACATGAGAAACATATTTGAAGGATCAGGAGGTAGTATCAGAAAGGGAGATTGAGGTTTTCGAAAATCATTAACCTTTCTACGTTCAGATAAGATCAAATGTCACAAAGGGAAAGAGAGAGGAGCTATGGAATGCGATCCCAAAAGACTGCTTTGAAATCTCTCATTCATGTACTCTGCAAAGAAAACGTTACCCACAATTTTGGGGGGGATTATTAAAACATTTCTCTTCTTTCATTATTGTAGTTCAAACACTATTTGTTTAGTCTTGTCATCTGTCAATACTTAGCTACGATATTGGACATGCAGATGATGACACAAAGGGCTGGCCCCAGCGTTCACACCTTTACGATGGAGAAATGCCTGCAACGCCATCGTGGACAGCATGCGTGGTGCCCGGAGCTGTGTCCACATGGCCCAGGAGAAAGCAGCATTCTCTCCCACAGACAGTAGTTAAAATTGTCTCTGGCATAGGTCTCATATGGTAACGATAATACTGTCTTTTTAAATCATGCAGATTAATCAATTTAACAGCTACCTGTAAAGCTTATTACTAATTTTTGTATTATTTTTGTAAATAACCACTAGAAAACAGTTCTCAACGTGGTGCTTTTTTGTCACATACAGGCAAAACTGCCTTTTGGGACTATAAGAACTCCGGGTGCCTTCTTGCCTCGTTCTTTCATCTCCCCAGCAAAGTGCCTTAGGTTAACTTGGGATGATATGTGTGTGAAAATATGTCCAAGAGAGAACGGAAGGGAGAGGAAATGAGGTGGGGTGGGAGGAAACCCATGGAGACAGATTCCCATTCTTAGCCTGACGTTCGTCATTGCCCCGTCACATCAATGCAAAAGGTCCTGATTCTGTTCCAGCAAAACACAGCTCAGTGTTCTCAGAGTGACTTCTGAAATAAATTGGGCCCAAGAGCTTTAGCTCCGTCTTAAAATATAACAGTTTCTACTTTTTTTTTTTCCTTTCAGTAACCCTGGGCCACATGTTGGAAATGAGCTAGCAGTGTGGTTCTCTGCCAGCATTTACTGTGATAATACAGTAAGCCAAAACCCAACAGTGTGGCCAAAAAAAAAAAGGACAGTAATTAATTCACATGCCACATGGATTCTATTCACAGATCACTCACGATCTTTTTATTAGTTTCTTCCCATCACTTTTTCAGACGCTTGTCAACACAAAAGACATGTCAAACTTTGGATTGTAAATTCACTTTGGGTGACTAATATCTTCACGGTTCATTAATATTTCTTTTTTTGTCCTACTTAAGTTTTAGCGCCTTTTTATTACCATGGACTGGGTTTTGGTTCTTCCTCCTCATTTACATCCCAGTACCCTTTTCTTCTCCATATCAGACTGTGGTCTGTAATCATCTTGCCAAATTTTGGAAACTGCACACGAAGAGTATATACATGTACTATTTATCATGAAGTTGCTTTCAATAGCTTTTCTAAAAATGTCTGATTTCAAAATTTTAGCATACTGATAAAAGTTGGTAAGAAACAAACATGATCTCTTTGACATGATTAAAACTGATATAGCCAAAGGAATACAGTTTATAGCAAAACATGGAAATGCTGTAGTGAACTTTACAAAATTGTAATATAAGCGTGTAAAATAATTATATATATTTTTTTCCTGTGGCCACTTAAAGTGGCAACTACTGTAGTTGCTGATGCATTATTGTGTAAACAAAATCAATAAAAATTTAAATTGTGAAACAAAAAAAGACCAGCTTATTTTTTTTACTGCACAGGAATGATTTCTTAAATACTAATTGATGAAGTACTGGAAGGCGACACAAATGTCACAAGCAGACATTATTTATGTTAAGCATACAATAATCAAGGAAATATAAAAGTTGTTAAATTAAAATGCCAGGTTTCTGGTCCCCGGGCTGCATAGTCATTGTTGTCGTTGTTTTAGTGTTGTGAGCAACCAGATGCGCATACAGACATTCAGCGTTCCAAAGCTGAGTATCTGCGTGATAGTTGCCAATGGCCCCTCCTGTCTTCCTATCTCTGGTTGCCTGACTTTGGAGCATTTCACCAGTTAATCATTATTGTACCAAAGATCAAAAGTGAAAGGTTGAAATGAGATTTTGGGATTACTCACTTCATTTCACAAGCTTCTTTTGAGTGTTTACTATGTGTAAGGTGGGATGAGATTAATAAAATGCAAGTTTCCTAGGAGACAAAGTAATAACAAAATTTTAATACAATCCAAAAGGAAACAAGCATTAAATAACCATCTACTGAATGCTCTCAAGGTTCATGTGCTATGTCTCTTAGCACATAATCCCTTTCTTTGTCTGACAAAACCCAGCCTAGTGTTCCAGAGGTTTCTATGAGTGACCCCTGACCTTTGCTGGATTTCAGCGGCCTAATCTCAACTGAGCATTAGAGATAGAGGAATTCAGAATTCCTGTGCTCTGTGAGAAGTAAAGAAGGGCAAGCACAGGCAGTACCCTTTGTGGGTCACCGACAAGAGCCTCGTTTCTCTTTTTTTTTTTCTTTTAAAGATTTTTTTTATTTATTTGACAGACAGAGATCACAAGTAGGCAGAGAAGCAGGCAGAGAGAGGAGGAAGCAGGCTCCCTGCTGAGCAGAGAGCCCGATGCGGGGCTTGATCCCAGGACCCTGGGATCAAGACCTGAGCTGAAGGCAGAGGCTTTAACCCACTGAGCCACCCAGGTGCCCCGAGCCTCGCTTCTCTTGAACAGTTAGTTGTGAAGTAACATTAATAATGATAATGCATGCACATTTTGTTATAGTAAAAGTAGGCTGAATAAATATAGTTTAGATTCTTGGAAGAAAACCAAAAGATGTGGTAGCCCTATGAAGGAAATATCCAGAAATCATAGAGGCCAAGCTTGTGAAAAGCAATAATTCTGGATGACTTGCTTTCAGTCATTGGCCTCAGAAGTGACTACATGAAATAATCAACAGGTTGAATGAGTATATCCAAATTGGAAAATCCCAATAGACACTTCCAGGATTCAAGGTTCATGTGAGCACGAAGAATAACTCCACCATGTTAGGAAGGCAGCAAGTGTAATGGAAAAATCACCAGAAGAAAAGGTAAGAGAGAAAGAAAGAGAGAGGGAGAAAGAAGGAAGGAAAGAAGGAAGAATGGAAGGAAGGAGAGAGAGAAAGAAGGAGAAAGAGAAAGAAAGGAAGGAAGGAAGGATGAAAGAGAGGAGGGAGGGAGGAAAAAAAGGAAAGGAAAAAAGGATATCCTTGATTGGGCAATATAAGTGACCTCAAAATGTCAGTGAACACCACAGAACCTCAATTTAATTATGTCAGGTTAATATTATAGTTATAATATTATAAAATATAGATATTAATGTCTCCAGCCTAATTCTTAAATCCACAAATTTCTAGTGTACTTATCAGTGTACCCTCTAAAATATAGGCATATGCAAATGAAGAAGACATAATCCGGACCTTCTAGAAATTTACAATCTGATGGGAGAGACATACAAATAAATCAAGCAGCTAATAGTATACATACATACATACATACATACATAGTGGTATATAAAATCATACATAGTGAGAACTAGGGAGTTTAAGGAAACTCATCAGAGGAATTGGTACTTGAGTTGAGCCTTAAAAGAAATTTGCCAAGCAAAATGTCCATGGCACAGCTGGCTAAATGACTACCGTGGGGGAGAAACTGAAAGGGGTGGACCAGCATGGCCAGTTCAGGGAGAGGGCTTGACCCCAGCATGCTGAGGGAGGTCTGTGAGAGGTGGGGCTGGAGAGACAGGCAAGCCAGAAGGGGCCCGTGTTCCATGTAGTGGGGTTTGCCCTTCCCCATGACCAGTGTTTCTCAAATGTCTGAGGACTGCACACTGCAGGCTTATCCAGAATGTCTATTTACAACACAGACTCCTGGCCTCCAACTCTGATTCGTAACATCTAAACCTCTGGGGTGGGGCCCAGGAGTATTTAATTTAACATCGATTTCAAGTAGCTCTTGTGGATCTAAAACTGGGGACGACTTGCAGTGTGGATATTTGCGAAGCACTGGGTATTTTAAACAAGGAGTAACAAGATGAGTTCTGTTTTCATAAGACTACTTTGGAAGCCGTGTAGAGCATAGATCAGAGGACCAGGAGGCAGAAAGCAGGGAAACAAGATAAATAGCTCCTGCATTTGATGGATCAGAGCTGAGGGGCTGAGAGAGGAAATGTGTGGGGATATTGGAAATAGGGCCTGTCAGCTGAAAAGATAGTCCTCATGACATCCTGACAGGATTGATGTGGGAACAAAGCTCAATTTAGAGGTTTCTGCCTAGAACCCATTAACTTAGATCAGAGTTTAGCAAACTATAACCCAAGGGCCAAATCCAGCCCACTGGCCTCTTTTTGTAAATAAAGTTTTATTGGAACACAGTCACACCCATTTGTTTACACATGGACTAGAGTTGCCTTTCACAACAGCACAGCTGAGTAGTTGTAGCGGAAACCCTGTGGCCCACAGAGGCTAAAATATTTATTATCTGGTCTTTACAGAAAAAATGTGCTGACCTTTGACCGATAAATAATAATAAGGGAAAAGAGGGGCAGCAATCGAACTGGAGAGAAGGAAAGAGTTCTGAGGATGAAATGAATTCTGTTTGGGATATAATGAGCTTAAAGGTAGCATGGAGCTTCCACAGAGACGCTTAGGGGATCTATCTGGGTTAAAGAGAAAAATGTGCTTAAAGTGATTTCGAGATACTAAATAAACAACAGGACGAATGAATGAAATGTTAAAGGAGACTCAGAAAAAGGAAGGGAAAAAGGAAAGAAGAGATGGAGAATAAAACAACAGGGGTCATGAAGGCAAGAGGAATGGGCAGAGATGAGAAATTCAGAAGAGGCTGCAGGAAGCAAGGCTGACCAGGGCCACAGAAGTGAGGGGG